CGCGCCCCCAGAGCAGGGTTTTAATGGCAAACCTGCAGTGCCACGGACTCTTTCTTCCTCCGTAAAACCAAGCAAGCTCCAGAGGGGGGGTGGGCACGTGGGTGAGGGGCACGGGCCCCTGCCTACCGGAGTCATGCTCCACCCACTCCCACCTTAGTGGAGCCAGAAACAGGATGGCTGCGTGAAGGGGTGTTCAAAGCTCACAGCCTGTGTGAGGCAGGCCTGCTGGGCAGGACCCTCGTTTCTGGCTCCCAGATGAGCTGCCCCCCAGCCCTTGGGCTCCCACGTACCCACAGGCCACATGGTCTGATGCTTGGCACCCTGGGGTCCAGAGAGGGTGTTAACTCACCCACCGATCCTGTTCTGGCATCATTCAGAAAGGGACCCCCACCTTGTGGAGAGGAGGGGCTGCTGACGGCGCTAGGAAAAGCAGGCCACCTTCTGCGGGAGGGTGGGAAATGACCCCAACCCCGGCAGCTCTGGCCCCTCCGTTCGGTGGGTATTCTACACAGGTGGCCACTGATGCAAATCGACAGGAAAGAAAAATATGGGCCATCTGTAGCTACCTCAACAGCTAAGACAGAGTAGAAAGGGACGTCTTAAACGCGGGGGTTTCCCTTGAACGTTGAATATTCTCACACAACCCTAAAAAGGCAACAACAACCAAAAAACTGATTTCAAAATATTGTCAGAATCAGGCCGGGCGTGTTGGCTCATGCCTGTAATGCTTGCACTCTGGGAGGTCAAGGCAGGAGGATCATTTGAGCTCAGAAGTCCGAGACCAGCCTGAGCAAGAACAAGACCCCATCTCTACAAAAAATTGAAAAATTAGCCCAGCATGGTGGCGCGTGCCTGTAGTCCCAAACACTTGGGAGGCTGAAGCAGGAGGATCACTTGAGCTCAGGAGTTTGAGGTTGCTGTGCGCTAGGCTGAAGCCATGGCCCTCTATCCAGGGGTGACAGAACGAGACTGTCTCAAAAAAAAAAAAAAAAGAATATATGAAAACACCATGAACATTGCCCTCATCATTCATTCATTCATTCAAAATATATTCTACGTGTATGCATGCTTAAGCTACGAGAGATGCCAGTCACCTGTCTCAAAAAAAAAAAAAAAAAAAGTCAGAAACAATGGATGCTAAACCCTTGGGTGAAAGCTTGAGGGGTAACAAGCTATCTGTAGAGCCCAAAATGTCTCTCAAGACATTTATTAATTACAAAAGGAAAAAGAGTAACTTTGTAGTGCAAGAACTTGACAGACATGCGCTTAGCCAAGTGATCAGAGTTAACATCACCAGTCAGGGAATAAACCAAAGTCACCGGCCACCTGGGAGGAAGCAACAACAAGGAAGACATGCTTCTGGGATGTCCTGGCAGAAACGCAGAACCCGAAACCACTCATGAGGAAGCACTGGACGAACCCAGATGAAGAGACATTCTACAAAATAACAGGCTTGTACTCTTCGAAAATGTCACAAAACACCAAGAAAGATGGAAGAACTGTTTTGGATTGAAGAAGAATAAAGATACATGAAAACGAAGTCAGCATATAAGCCAGGATTTTCCTTTGCTATCGGATATGGTTAGACGATGAACAAAAGCTCAATGAAGTCCACCAATCAGGTAACGATACTGTGTCAACTTCCTGCTTTTGGTAGGTGCATGGGGTTCTGTAAGAGGCGGTGCTTATCTTCTGGAAATACACACTGAAGTATTTAGGGGTTAGTGGGCATCCTGTCACTTACTCTTTTTTTGAGACGGGGTCTCGCTCTGTTGCCCAGGCTAGAGTGCAGTGGTATCATCATAGCTCACTGCAGCCTCAAACTCCTGGGCTCAAGAAATCCTGCCTCAGCCTCCCAAGTAGCTGGGACTACTATAGACGTGCACCACCACGCTAATTTTTTCTTTTTTGTAGAGATGGGAGTCTCGCTATTGTCTAGGCTGGTCTTGAACTCCTGGGCTCAAGTGATGCTAGAATTGCAGGCGTAAGTCAGGGTGCCCAGCCATGCAAGCAGTATTTAATAGCTATATAACATTTCGGAGGAGAGGGCAGTCTTTAACTTACTGTCCCCCTATTGTTGGACATTAAGGTTGCTTCCAAATTCTCACTGTCACAGTGCCTCACAAACTCCTTTGTACATACAGCTTTGTACATATTTTAGATTATCTCCTTAGACTAGGTCTTGATAAATGGGGTACTGGATCAAGGAGTATGAACCAAATACTTTCTACAAGGATTATTTCAATGTACACTGTCAATAAAAATGCAGGAAAATACCCCTTTCACTGGCATTTATAAGGTTAGTATTCTGCCTTACTATAGTTTTTCTTCTAATTTAACGAGAAAATGGTACCTCACTGTTATAACTTGTATTGTTTTGAGTATTAATGGAGCTACACTTTTTTCCATACATATGTATCAACTGCTTTTACTAGCTTGTCCAAATGTATCCTTCGTCCATTTTTCAGGATATTTGCAGGTTTTTTAAAAATTTCAAAACATTAAGGGGGTATAAATATTTTTGTTACATGGATAGCTTTTATAATGCTTAAGTCAGGGCTATTTGTTACATGGATAGCTTTTATAATGCTTAAGTCAGGGTGTGCCCATCACCTGAATAGTGTTCATTGTACCTGTTAGGTAGGTTTTTACCACCCCTCCCTCCTTCTTGATTTCCAATGACTTTTACTTCTTTCTGTACCCATGTGTGCCCATTGATTAGTTCCAAATTATTAGAGAATACATGTGGTATTTGTTTTTCCATTCCTGGGATACTTCACTTAGGATAATGGTCTCCAGTTCCATCCAAATTGCTGTAAAAGACATTAATTCATTTTCTTTTTTTTGGCTGAGTAGTATAGGTTTTTATAAAAAAATTCAATTACTAAAAACTCGTTATAGAATAGAGATATTAGCTGGGCCTGGTGGCTCATGCCTATAGTCCCAGCACTTTGGGAGGCTGAGGCAGGAAGATCGCTTGAGGCCAGGAGTTTGAGGCTGCAGTGAGCTGTGATGGTGCCACTGCATTCTAGCCTGAGCAACAGAATGAGACCCTATCTCAAAAAAAAAAAAAAAAAAAAAAAAAAAATAGAATAGAGATAGTAATCTTTTCTGTTGTCATACTTTAAAATACTTTCCAAGACTGTCAGGTTTGAAGAAGAGGGCAGATTTTCAGTAGTCTGAAATGGTTAAAAAGTGGATGATCTTTTAGTGTATGTCTGAAGATGATATTAATATTTCTCACATCAACAGATCATGCAACAATAAACTAATACTCCAAAGAAATACACTGTAGATTCCTTAGCAAGGTTATAGCAATACAGTCTAGGAGGATCTGGGTCAATGAATGAACCTGTTAGACAGGTTTTACGAATTTCCTGAGACTAGCAAAGTCTGAGTGCTAACTTCTGATAGAGAACTCCAGGGAATAAATTGTCACACTCCCTTTCTAGCTTGGATACAGGTAACTAATTTTCTTTTCTTTTAAGAAGCAGGTGGACCACATTCAACAGACAAGATGAGTAATTTGCTTCTTTTTCATGCCAGAAGGGGACACGCAGACTTCCCTAGAAGGGAGCCTTTCCCAAGCATCACAGAAAACTCTGCTAGAGGGTCACTGATGAGAAGTGAACAGAAGGAACCCCTATCTCAGGTTGTTGGGCAATCGTCTTTTCCATAGGAGCTGCACCAGGTTCTGTTTAGCATTTTAAAAATAGATTGTAGTCAATATTTTTAAAAGGAAGCAGGGGAAAGAGAAGAGGTTCTTGCCAAGAAAGGTCTATTCTGGGCTCCTTTTCAGGTACCCGAACTCCGTATACACGTTGCCTGCACCCAACCAGCCACAGAGGACTGCTGGGTCTCTGACAGGGTCAGGCAGAATGCTGTCGGGGAGGAAAAGTAGCCCCTTTTTCCATGGGGCCCTGCAGAATCTGAGCCACAGTTTGAATGACGCGTTGCAAAGATTTTGACTTGAACAGCTGAGAAGCAGGTCACTTAGCTTCTCAGGGACTGGCTGGCCTCTGTTCAGCAGCTGCAAGATCCGGAGGCCTTATAGCCTCACCGTGTGACAGCCAGGTGACCTGTCTCTACCAAAGTGCTGACTGTCCTCTCAGTTCTTGGAAAGCACTTAAGTTTTTAATAGAAAGGACCTATAATTAGTGCAGTCTTTGGTGCTCTGATCTGGGGGGAAGGAGAAGAGGAAAACATTTCTGGGATTCTTGCCTGCAGTTCAGCACAGGACAGCCCCGAGATTTCCAAATCCTGAAATGACACAGGGAAGGGCTGACCTTCTTCTGTGGGTGAGGGCTTACTTGAGAGGTGCTTGGACCTCAGGGAAGGGCAAGGCCCTGGTTTTCCCCACTCTCGGAGACCTCCCAGGTGGACTCCTAGACTTCCAAACCAGCGCTCTGCCACTGACTTCAGCCTTAGAGCTGCTCAACTCTAGAAAGAAAGTCAAGATCACCTAGAACAGAAATACAAGAGACTGGGGCTGGAAGGCTAGCCACCACCAAAGACAAAATAAAAATGAGAGTCCTCCGTGAATTTTACACCGGAGGCACTGCAGCCTGGGAAGGGCAGAGCGCACCACGCCCACTGTGGCTCGGGGCGGCGGGGGTGGGGGCGTAGAATTGGGAGGTGCCCTGCTCCCCGGCCCTGGGCAGCCCCCTAACTCCTCTCTCAGCCTGTCTCCTCCCCGGCAGCAGAGATGGCCCGAACACAGTGAAGCAGGAGACAGAGGGCACAGTGTCCCCCCAGCCCCTTCCAAGTGACCAGGGCCCAGCTCTGAGGGCCAGCTTCCCCCACCCAAGGGGGCTGGGCCGAGGCGCCCAGCTCGCAGGAGGCTCAGCCTGGCATCCTCCCCCCGGTCCAGGGCTGGGGTGCCCCGAAGACGCGGCTGCCAGAGGGGGCGCGAGGGCCACAGGGGCAGCAGGCAGGGCCCGGGGGCGCGGACGGTCGGCCTGGGTCGGGGCTCGAGGGAAAGCCGCGCCGCTGCCACCCACCTGACGACGTGGAAGATCCAGAACAGGCGGTCGGTGCGGGGCCCGCGCGCGGCGCGGACGATGCTGAGGTACAGGTAGAGGGCGATGGCCACGGTCCAGAAGAAGGAGCTGGTGTTGGCGAAGGTGGAGAGCGCGCCCTGCAGCACGCAGTCCCACGAGGGGCCCGCGAAGTCCTGCAGCACCCCGTAGAAGTAGGAGGCAGCCGAGAGCAGGTCCGCCAGCGACAGGAAGAGCAGCAGGCGCCGCGCCCGGCTGCGCAGGTCGGGCCACAGGGCGTGCGTGGCCACCAGCAGGCCCGAGCCAAGCGCGGAGAGCGCGCACGACAGCAGCACCACTGCGCGCTCCGACGGCACCAGCACGGTGGGCGGCGCGGGCGGCGGCATGGCCGGCCCGGGGCCAGGAGGCCGGGGCGCGGGGTCGCCGCGAGGACAGACGCCAGGCCGAGCTAGGGGCCACCGCCGCCGCCGTCTGGGCACCGACGCGCCCGTGGCTCGCGTCCCGCCGTCCGCCCCGCCCGCGTCCAGGCCCCGCCAGGCCGGCGGCCTCGCGCCCCGCCCCGGTGCCCTGGGCCCTGAGCCCTGCGCCCCGCCCACGGGCCACACCACGCCCCTGCGCCTTGCGCCCCGCCCACGAGCCCCGCCCCTATACCCGGGCCTCTGAGCTCCGACCACGCCCTCTCACCACGCCCCTGCGCTTCCCACACCCTACCCGTGTTGCCCCCACGTCCTGCCTGCCACGTCCCCCCGCTTGATCCCTGCTACCCCTGCTCTTGCCAGGTGGCTGGAACATCCCGTCCTGTGTGGGTGAGGGACTGGCATTTTTAGAGCTAATATTACTTTCCTTGCTTTCAGCCAGCTCATGTGTGTGCTGGGGGTTGGAGGCGTCCTTTCCACTGGTAGCATGACAGCAACTCCAGGGTATGATACCGAAGTGTTCACAGGTTGGTGGTGGTGACTTGGCGTGAACGGGTGTTTCCAACTTTTCTTATAGTGAGCATATAATTTTTTTAAAAAAATAGCTAATTAGGTGTGATTTTTAAAAAATGGAACGTAATTCCTAATTTGCAGCGTTTTTTTCTTATTTGAAAATTTCAGACTTTTTGAGAATGTAAATCATATACTGTAAAATTGGCCTTTTTAACTGTACAATTCAGTGGTTTTTAGAATATTCACAAGTTTGTGCATCCGTCACTATTATCTAATTCTACAATATCTGTATCACCCCAGAAAGAAACTCTAATCCCTTAGCTATTAGCACGCAGTTCTCCCTTCCCCTCAGCCCTGGCAACCACTGTCTACCTTCTGTGTCCATGGATTTGCCTATTCTGGACATTGTGTATAAATGGAATCATATAATATATGGCCCTTAGTGTCTGACTTCTTTCACTTAGCTTAATGTTTTCAAGGTTCATCCAAGTCGTAGCAGGTATAAGTATTTCATTTCCTTTTATGGTCAAATATTGCATTATATGGATGTGTCACATTTTACTTATCCATTCATCAGCTGATGGACATTTGGGCTGTTAACACTTTTTGATTATTGTGAATAATGCTACCATGAAAATCTGAAAATCCGAGTACAAGTTTTTGTGTGGACATATGTTTTCAATTCTCTTTTTTTTTTTTTTTTTGAGCCCGTCTCACTCTGTTCCCCAAGGCTGGAATGCAGTGGCACGATCATAGCTCACTGCAACTTTTTTTTTTTTTTTTTTTGAGCCCGTCTCACTCTGTTCCCCAAGGCTGGAATGCAGTGGCACGATCATAGCTCACTGCAACCTTGAACTGCTGGCTCAAGCAATCCCCCGCCTCAGCCTCCCAAGAAGCTGGGACTACAGGTGTGCACCACCACGCCCAGTTAATTTTTAAATTTCTTGTAGAGAAAGGCTCCTGCTATGTTGCCCAGGCTGGTCTTGAACTCCTGACCTCAAGTGATCCTCCCACCTTGGCCTCCTAAATGCTGTAATTACAGGCATGAGCCACTGTGCCCAGCCTCAGTTCTCTTAATACATACCTAGGAGTGGAATTGGGTCATAAGGTAGCTTTATATTCAACCTTGTGAGGAACTGCCACCCTGTTTTCCAAAATGACTGTACCATTTAACATTACCACCAATGTAAGAAGGTTCCAGTTTCTCCACATTCTTCCAACACTTTATTATCCGTCTTTGTGATTATAGCCATCCTAGAGGGTGTGAAGTGGTATCTCATGTGGTTTTGACTCTAATTTCTCTAATGCATAATGATGTTGAGCATCTTTTCATGTGCTTATTAGATATTTGCATATCTTCTTTGGAGAAATGTCTATTTAGTTTTCTCGCTTATCTTTAAATTGGTTTGTCTTTTTATTGTTGAGTTGGAAGAGTTCTTTGTATATTCTGGATACTAGACCCTTATCAGGTAGGTATATGATTTGCAGATATTTTCTCCCATTCATCTTTTCACTTTTCTGATTGTCTACTTCAAAGGACAAAAGTGGTTTTTTGAGGATGTCCAGTTTATCTATTTTTTTCTTTGGTTGCTGTGCTTTTGGTGTCATATCTAAGAAACTATTGCCTAATCCAAGCTCATGAAGATTTACACCAGTGTTTTCTTTCTTGCCAGTACCACACTGTTTTGGTTACTATAGCTTTACAGTAAGTTTGAAATTGGGGCGTGAGTCATTCAATGTTGTTTTCCTTTTTTAATATAATATTGTTTTGGCTATTTGAGGCCCCTTGTAATTCCTATCAATTTTTCCATTTCTGCCAAAAAGCCAGCTGGGAATTTGTTAGGGATTGCTTTGAATCTGTAGATAATTTGGGGAATAATGCTACCTTAATAATATTAAATTTCCTCATCCATGACCTAGGATGTCTTTCCACCTACTTAGGTCTTCTTTAATTTCTTTCAGTGAGGTTTCATAGTTTCCAGCATATATCAGGTTTGATTTTGCATTTGATTCATAGAAGCCAATGATTATCTTTGTGTCTCTTAACTTTTAAAAATATTTTTTATGAAACATGCATACAGAAAAGTCCCTAAAAGATGAATGTACAATTTAATAAATAAAGCAAACACCCATCCAGAGCAAGAAATGTATCGTGACCAGCACGCCAGAAGCCTCCCCCAAGCCCCTTTCCTCCACCTCATTCATTCCTTCCTTTTTTTTTAACCATCCATGTACGCATCCCTAAACAAAGGGGTGTAGTTTGCCTGTCATTGAGCTTTATGTGAGTGGAGTCATCACCTGTGTTCCCTTTTTTGTATTTTTTTGTTCAACATTATTTTTGTGAGATTCATCCCCATTCTCACCCCTAGCTGCAGTTCATTTTCATTGCTGTGTAGTATTCCATTGTATAAATAATATATTTAGCCATTCCGTTGTTTTGGATATTTGGGTTGTTTCCAGGTTTTGGCTATTATAAGCAATGCTGACATGAGCATAGATTCTTTTTTAACCAGAAAAAAAGAGTTACTAAAAACAATTCTCAGCAGCATGAGCAAACATATTTGTAGAGTTCTGCAAGGAGCTGGAGAACAGCTGCTTTCTTTTCAAGTCACTTCTGATTGTTCAAAAGTCCCCTGACGTCCTTCTGAGAGGACCCCAGACCATAAACAGACCCTGGCTGAGAGTTCTGTCGGTGAAGCTTCTCAGCTTTTTATGGGTGTGAATAGTTTTAAGTTTGGATTTTGCAACCAGCCCTGGGCTTTGACACATGGTGGGGCAAGAGCATGGATTGGACTCCCTCCCCATATCATGGTCATTTCATCCTTCGGGTGTTTGGGCGGAGGGAGGGAGGAAGGGACAGGAGGGGTCTTGCAGCAACCTGCTCCGTCAGCAGATCAAGCTCAACTACATCTTTCCTGCTCTATTGAGATTAAAGTGCTTTGCCTCTCCAGGTGAGCAGTGGACTATTTTACAGACAATTTTGATCAGGAAATTGCTTGGAAAACAACATTCAAAGAACTTTACTACTTCCTACAACCAGGAAAAAAATGTGAAAGACATGGAATGATATAGCCTCAAATTGCTAAGATTTAAGCTTGAACCTAATTTTTCACCATCTGGGCTCACTGATGTTGCCCAGATGGGTCCAGATATTATCAATCAGGAGGTGAGACTCGTGACTCCCAAGCTGCTGGATCATCTCGAGCCGCCTGGCACGGCCTCTACCAAAGGGAGCCAGGGATTCCTGACCCTAGGTGGCTCAACAGAGTTCCTGGGGCTTTGCTTCTTCTATTCCAGGGGCTGCTGGTCCTCTGGGGAGGCCTGAACAAGAGAAGCCCCGCCCGTGAGCTGCCTCTGATGGTCCTCACCCCACTAGGCATGTGATGTCCCATTAGCCACATCTTAAATTTCCGGTCTTTCAGTCCTCCCTCTCCCTCCTCGTCTCTGGGGGACTTCGTAAGAAACCCACATGGATTCTTCGTTTGACCCCGAGTAATGTCTCTAGCGGCTGTGCCAAGCCAGCTGGCAGATGTCTGCTGCTCCGTGTCCAGCATCCAAAGGGGCCATGTCCAATGTCCTGACACATCGTCATAGCCTCCCTTGCACCCCAACTGTCTAGCTGCAGATCTAGGGGCCCAGACCCAGAAAGACCCCATAAATGTGACTAGTGGCCCCAGGAGGAGGTTGGCTTTGGTAAGCTTTCCCCTCTTCCTCTCAGTCCAGGAACTGGCACAAGATTCTCCTCCTCTGACAACTGCAAAAGGGGTGGCAGTTTGGTGTCTCTAATTTGGAGGAGCCCTGAATGACTTTCTAAGGTCAACTCCAATGTAAGTTACAAGCCACAAATGTGGTTTTTAAAACTAGAACACTAGAGGGACTTTCCTTGTGCTTTTGGGGAAAGTGTAGGCTGGCCACCTTTCTCATTTCTCTGTTTGAAGGTGAGTATGGCGCAGGCTCTGCCCCGTCACTGCCCGAATCATCACTCGAGGGAACTTGTCTTGCCCCTTCCTACCCAGATATCATGCGAGTGATGGCTGTGGAAGAGGAACCTGGCCCACGGGGGCCCCTCTCCATCCTCCCCCTGCCTCCGGCCTCCCCACAGGAGGCTGTGACCCCAGGCACGTTCATGTGGCCACCAGGGCACACAGATGCAAGAGCAGGATAAGCCACATTTCTGGAGTCAGGGGCCCTGCTCCTCATGGGGCACCATCCGGCGGGTGTATTTTCCTATAGGTGCCTTGAAGACTCAGTGGGATGTGTTTAAACTCTCCCCTGTCACCTGAGCCTTCCCCCTCCGCACCCCAAACTCCGAAGGCTGTTGCTCCCAGCTTGCTGTGCCTGTGGCCCTCCTGCCTGCACACACCCTGAAAAGACCCCGGTCCTGGCTCTTCCATGGCAATAGCTCTTGGCTGCCTGTCGAGGACAGCTAAGCCACTAAAGGGAAGAGGTACCTGCCTCTGTACCTCTACTCAGGGCCTCATTTTGCAGGTAGGACTGGCTTAAAGAGAGGCTTTATGACTTAGTGGGAGACACAGGGTCTAGCCCTGAACCTCTGTCCTGGCCAAGTTTAGTGGGCAGAATTCCAAAGAT